GAAGAACACCATAATTTTTCCTTGGTGGCAACTTATACGTACTCATAATATTATCCAGATTAGTTACATGAGCATCAGTTGTATTTACCTCAAGAATATTCAAAGAAGACACATTGGGTGGCACTATTGAGCTCAAGAGAGAGGGGGTATGAGTTCGGTAGTTGTTGGTTCAGTAGACTCATGTCGATACTCTGCATCATACTTGGCAGATTGTTGCAGAGAAGCTTCAACTGTCTCGGTGGCCGGCAACTGAACAATATTTGAATTTTCAGCAGGCTGTTGCCGATAGCCCTCACTATCTTCATTCTCAGCAGTGTCTTGCCGAGAGCCTTCACAATTTTCTTTTTCAACACACGCTCCCCCTGAGCTACATATTACATTGTATAGTATCTCCAACCACCCAAGATCACCACTAGTATTCTCCCCCTGGTGATCCGAATGTGATGGAATCAAAACATAAAAATACTCGTCGAGAAAGTAACATCCATGGTCACATACATGTGGCGAGTTTTAGGATGGTAGTACTTGTACCCTTTCTGTTGGGGAGCAAACCCAAGAAAGACACACCGGATAGCACATGGATCTAATTTACTACGATGAATCTTGTGAATATGAACATAGACTACACATCCAAACACACGAAGAGTGAGAGTATTAGTGGACACTACGGGAACAAATTTTGTCAACGCTTGAAGAGGTGTACGAAAGTCCACAACCCGGGATGGCATACGGTTAATCACATACACGACATAGGTAACGACTTCAAGCCAAAACTGTTTAGTCACGGTCGCACCAATAAGCAAGGCACGAGCAGTTTCCAAGATATGATGATTCTTTCTCTCAACAACCCCATTTTGTTGCAGAGTATGCGGACATATAGTTTGATGAATAATCCCCATTTTTTTGCGGAGTATGCGGACATGTAGTTTGATGAATAATTCCACGATCTTGTAGAAACTTGGATAACTCAAAATTTATGTACTCTCCACTATTGTCAAAACACAAAACTTTAATATCAGATGAATACTGAGTTTTAATCATCTGTTCAAACAGACAAAACACTCCACAAACCTCACTTTTATTTTTCAACACTTACAACCAAGTCATACAAGTGCAATCATCCACGAAAGTAACAAACCACCTAATACCTGAAATAGTACTAACAGGGGAAGACCCTCACACATCAGATTGTACTAGAGCAAATGGAGAAGATCTTCTATTCATACCTAGAGGGAATGAAGCACGATGACTTTTGGCTAAAATACATACCTCACATTTCAATTATGAGTCTTCAATACCACTTAACAAATTAGGTAATATATGTTTTAAATAACCAAACGATGCATGCCCCAAACAACGATGCAATAACAATACCTTCTGTAGATTACTATTACGTGATGCATGAACCAAATTAGCTCTTCTAGGAACCACGCCATCCACATAATATAGCCTATCTCTCTTAGTGCCACGCACAATGATCTTATTTGTCTGAATATCCGTAAGCAAGCAAAATGAAGGATACATTAATACAACACAATCCAATTGTTCAGTGACTTAAGGTACAGACAATAAATGATGGGACAATGATGAAACCAATAAACAATTATGTAAGGGAAGATAGGGTGCAAGAGACATTGTTCCCGCTCCAACAACAGTAGCAGTGTACCATTGGCAGTTGCCACACACTTTCTATAAAGATCTTTCATGGACTAAAACAAAATTCTATCATATGTCATATGATCCGTTGCACCGGAATGTAAAATCCAACCGGTATTGATCATTGTAATAACAACCAAAAAAGACAATCACAGGTACACGATAATCACAGCACCCCACCAATTACGGAACCACAAGCTACAAGAACAAACAAGAAACAACCTTTTCTTTTTTTTTCTTTTTTTTAAATGACCGTAGCAACGGCAACCCACAAATACAGACAGCAATCCACATCACTTGTAGAACAACAATTCCAGTCAACTTTTGCGATAATCAGTTGCAACAATGGCAGGTAATACACACAACACAGCAAAACTAACTTCACCAAAAGACAGTGTATCAACAATTAGCAGTCCAAAAACAAATCTTATATGCAAAAAACAGACCACCCATATGCTGCAATCCAGCAGGACCAACAATACCCACTGCACGACAAAGACCAATTCACGACACCACCAGTAGAAATTATACACGGTGCACAATTGCATAAGCACAGCACCATACACGGCAGCAGCAAGATCAGATTGCTGCAAATCCAATATACATAGCCTGATCGATTCCTGCAACAAGCAGCGTAGGAACAAGTCGACCGAACACAGCAGCGGAAGAAAATATTGTTTTACAGTTTATAGGGTTACAGCAAACTAGACTCTGATACCAAATAGAACTTTACAACCTAACTTTTCTGTATTCCATAATCTTGAATAAAAGTACATACAATCCTTGTTACAAAAGGACACAATATCCTTTCTAAAACATAACTCTAATAATTACAAAATATTTACATTCCTTTTCTCCTAAAATATAGACTCAGGCCAATACTAAAATCATTCAAATCCTCCTCAACTGGAGTTGCCATTTTAGTATTATTCTTGAAATATCGTGTTCGTCTATTTTTTTTTTTTTTTGAACTAAAAATATTATCTACACTAAGGGGTGGGGGAGTGGGTTAAACCTCACAATGGGCAAAGCAAAATAATGTAGTTCAAATTCGTCTTTGGCAAGAATCAAACCTAAGACATCTTACTTACAAGTGAAGATGAATACCACTAGACCGTAATACTAAATGGCTAATAATATCTTATTAGTTTCATGTGTATCTAATTTTCTATAAGATTAATGATCTTGCAATAAAAATTAAAACATAAACAACTCATATCCTTGAAATAAAATCTAAAGTAGGACCTCATAAATGTATCTCACCCTCAAATTAATTTTTTGATAGGATTTTTACCACATACAAATGTAAGGATAAAAACACTTAAAATATTTACAAGAGAATGAGGTAGTTGTAGTAAAAATGCTCATGTAAGATCGTTCCCACATCTCACATGGATTATTTAAAACAATTTATGTAAAAACCAAATCTTAACTAATTATTTAAAACAAAGTTTAGAAAAGGTTCTTTTTGGACTTAAAATAATAACAACGAATTTTAGTAAAAAAATTACTAAAAACATTAAAGAAACCAATTTGAAAGTAACCAATTTTAGAAAACAATGACAAATTTTGTCGTCACCTTAACAATCCTATGTAGTTTTAGGAATTATTTATGAATTTTACATGCAACTTTGAAGGTTAGGTTTTCCTTATGCATATTCTCCTCGTGATATTTAAGTAAGAACGTATATCTAACATTCAATTCATTTGTGATATTCGGATCAAATGTAAACTTGCAGGACTCATTAAGTTTTTTGAAATCCTTTTGAAAAACCATGCATCCCTTAAGAATGTGATATTCACCTTAAGTGAAATTTCACTTATCAAACATAAGAAGCCCTACTCAATCCTCCAGTGATATTCAGACCAAATTGTATCCGATTACTTATTTAAACATCTTAATGGTAGTTAAGCATTAAGATATAGAGACAGTTTAAACACACTGATTAATAATTCAAAGTATGCATGCATAATATCATAAGCAATTAAATAAAGACTACATATTCATGCTAAGGCTCATGGTCTCATCCTAGCAAAAGAAATTAGTTACACACAAATGTTGTTAAGAACATGGATATAAAACACCTTGTAAATAAATTTGAATCGTCAAAAGCTCTCTAAGCCGAATTCTCCAAAGTAGTGCATCGAGAACCCTAATGGCTAATTAACCTTATTTATACTACTACAAAATAAAATTATTCCTAGAAAATGTCTTCCAATAAAACTAGGAAACAAAATAAATTAAGAGAAACTAGAGAAACAATTTCCTACTCAAATATGGAAACAATTTCCTAGTCAAACATGGAGAAATCTACCAGCAAACTGATCAGCCACGTTCTGGGCTCAAAACAGCTCAAAAAAAGGCCCAAGACAACTTATTTTAAAGATTAAGATGTTCTGAACATATCTCCAGAAGGGTCCAAACCCATAAAATGCCATCTTGGATGCCACAAAGTCCAAATAAGCCCAAAACGTCATTTTGACAGCTTCGTGCACTTGTCCCTTATTTTATTGTCATAAATAAACTGCTCAGTAGAAAATTTTGAAACTTTGACACTAACAATCTGAGAGATTTACAAATATCCTCTGATTTGAATCACTCCAAAATTCAACTGTTTGATCACTTTTTGCTCAAAATGAATTTGCATGTCCTACATTAAAAAATATAAATCAAAGTATCAAAATTTCACTTAAATAATTACCAAAGCATACTATATATATATAGTATCAAATCGACTCATCATCTTTCTCAATGGAAGTGGGAACGACAACACATGCCAAACTGGATTTTCGTATTTTTTTTTGTAAAACAAAGGTTCTACCAATTTATTTTTCACTAGTATTTCGTAGGAATATATTTTCACTGGTTAAGTTGGACTCTTGGAGAAGAAGTATAACATATAGATGAAATTAGATTTATCCTTGCCGAATTCTTTTCTACTTTGGATGGTACTCCCTTTCCTATTTTGTCACTACAAAACTCACTTTCTCCTGTAGAATAAAGTACTACTGCAAAACTCAATGAGTATTAGAATCGTATATATATGCATTTTTAAGATGAAGAAAGGTACTATATATATGTTCTTAGTAATGAATCTGTTTTGTAAAAGAAATCGTTTTGAAGATGTCTACACATTAGTTGTATCATGCAATCTGTACTCTCTTAGAATTCATATAGGAGTATAACTCCAATTTTCTTATATATCTCTCTCCTTTCTTAGTTATAGCCCAAAATTTGGATTTGAATTATTCGATCCCCTCTGAGCACCTATATACTCGAATATTCTAACCTCTCTTTAATTAACCCTCTCTCTCTCTCTCTCTCTTTCTCTCTCTCTAGATTAATGGGGCATATGACACTAGAAGTGGAGCTCATCTCAGCCAAAGACCTCAAAGATGTCAACTTCTTTACCAAGATGTCCGTATACGCCGTCGTCTCCGTCCTCGACGGCGACTCCCAAGAACAGCAGAAAACCAAATCCTTCGTATCCCAAAACTGCGGCACTCATCCCACCTGGAATAACTTTCACATGGACTTCACCGTTGACGAGTGTCTTGCCCAGCAGAGCCGCCTCGCCCTCGTCTTCAAGCTCATCTGCAAGCGCCGCCTCGGCGACAAGTACATTGGCCAAGTGGTTGCTCCCATTAAAGAGCTCTTTGACACCATGGCCAACCCCAACTCCACCATGACGTTCGTGGCTTACCATGTTATTACAAACCCCTCAAGTAACCCCAAAGGTGAACTCCGCTTCTCTTACAAGTTCTGCGATAAAGTGGCGGTTTCACCGGCGGAACCGCCGTTTGCTTGGCCGCAATTCCAACATGAACATACCGCACGGGGGCCACCGTATGTTCCAAGGCAACCTCAATATGAGGATACTGCACTGGCACCGCCTTATGTTCTGCCTCAAACCCAATATGAGTATACTGCAACGGCACCGCCATTTCCTCCCCCACAACCCCGATATAAGTATACTCCATCTGCACCGCCACTATTCGTATACACGTCCCCGGCACCCCGATATCAGTACACTGCATCAGCACCGCCACTGTATGGATAACCGTCTCCTACCAAGAGTACCCATGCCAGCGGCAGTGCCAGGTTACAGGTCTCCGTAGGTGCAGCAACTATGCCCCCTAGGCAGCTGGTTCGTGGGACTCCACATATTGTCAAATTGGTTTTATGGTGGAACCTATGAGAGAAAGAATCTTGTATGGGCTTATGGTGGAACCTATGGGAGAAAGAATCTTATATGAGCTTATAAGTAAATTAGACTACTCTCCATATATTGCTGATAAATTTTATGGTGAAGTCTCAACTTTCTTCAATAAATACGCGGTTAATGTGATGGTTGTTGATGGTTCTTAATTTTTTTACCTATATGTGAATTTGAAATTAATAAAATGGGGTTTGTGTTTGAAGCTAAAAAAAGTTAATTAGTAATTAGGCTCTTACTAATTGGTTCAACTTTGTTATGATATGCAGGAGTTAGTCACTTCTGCATGTTTTGTTTCCAAATTATATCTCAATCTAAATGTTTTTAGTAGGGGTTTCGTCTAGTAGAGTTGAACTCATTACTTGCTTATATATAAACGGATTTCTGCTTGATGGTGGTTGCCTTTCTGTATGCATGCTTGGGTGTATCTGGCGATGAGGCTACACATTTGATCAACAAATGTAAGGCTGTTGTTGCTTACATGGCATAACCTTGAGCTTTGAATCAGCTTGAAAATGTTTTGAACGGCTGGGAGTGAAAGGAGAGCACATGAAATATAAGGGGAGAGATGTTATAGTTTGTCTAGATACATGTTTCCATTTAGGGTTTGGTTTCATAGTCATTGTGAGACAACAAAACTTAATTAGTATTTAGGGATTGGATTGGATTAAAACCGGTGGCTTCCTAAGTTGTGTTGGATTGTATAATCATAGGCTAAAGGGTTTCGAAGAGTCTAGAACTCTATGTTGGCGTGAGGATCAAGAAATTGGCCATCAGGTTTGTTCTTTTATGAATGGAACTATATGACTCGAGCCACAAAAACTACACTCGAGGCCCAGAAGCATTCTTGGTTAGTTTTCGGCTCTTGGACCATGGAAGCTCAATTCTACCTTGTTCACTTTAGGTCTATAGCCCACAGTCCTTTTAACAAACAGCTCCTATAAGTACCTTAGGCTACTGAATGTCCACCAATTATTTAACAATAAGCAGGGAATATCATCAAGCGTAACATCACCTTCCATGTTTTTATTTTTATTATAACTGATATTTCTACTTTAAGTTAGATTAAGAGAAGGGGGTAGGTTTTGAATCCGAAATATAGTAGGATGTAGATTAAGGTTTATCCATTAGGACAATCCACCATTTGCGTACATCTCATACTTACATAATATATACAGTTAATTTAATAAGAAGCGAAATCTAACCTTTACAAATTAGTACGAAGAATAAAAATGATCGATCTTGTCATTGTTAATTATTTTGGAATATGATTAATATAAGAATTCATCCCTTAATTAATTTTTGTTCTTATGAAAGGATTGATCCTACATTCCTCATGTTTAGTACTTTATTCTCAAAATCATGGTAAAATGGCCTAAATCCATCTTTTTAAAACAAAGTTAGGCATGATCTAATGCTAGATAAGCACATCATTCTCTCTAGCTAGTTGCTTTATTTTATTTTGTTCTCTTGATAGAAAAATTCTCTCTCGAAGAAAAATTCCCATTTTTATATCTTAGAAGAACCTTAAGACACTCAAATTTTAATAAACCCAAATATCCAATGAGTTTTGCTGTATTATAATACAAGTATGATGGAGAATAAGTTCGGCCACACAGGCATGAGAGAGGGCATTGGTTATTTAAGAAACTACTACTTAAATTAAGAAGGATAAACATTTGGGATTTACTCATTGCAAGGGGAAAACCCCCCTTTTAAGATGTAACCAAAGATTACAAGGTGCTCCATTTTCTTTTAGATTATATGCATGGAATCCAGTTGCCTCTCCATTTTGAAAATTAAACGGATCTTCCTCTCAAGCACTCTTTAACAACTTTGGAAAGATATGGTTATACCGTCAAAGCGTCTAAATACATGGGCAAGGAGTTTATCAAAATATATTATGGCATTTTCGCACTTTACTTTTGTTCCACAGCATTCCTAATTTTGTTCAGTCATTAGATCGAATACATCAAAAGAAAATCAAGAGATTGAAACAAGGAGAGAGCTGTAGAAAAGAAAATGAAAACTTACATGAAATGTGATGAACATATATGATGGTAGGAGGTAAAATGACTAATAATAATAGTTCAATGGGAAATTTGGCCAAAATAAAGATTCAAGCGAATCGAATAAATTAAGTTGTGCTTTAAATTCGATCCATACATAATTTTTTTTTTTAATACAAGAAATAGGGATAAAATTCGAACTAGGACATTAGGTGCATAAGTAAAACCCTCTTAACCATAACCACAATCCCCTTGCCATCCGTACATAATGCATTCACGTGAATAACGAGAGAATATATAAGCATAGGGGCTTGCCCAAATATATTACTATATATTTAGGGGAGAACCTACATTTCTTTTAGTGATTGAGATAGGTCATTCCTTTATTCTTTTAAAGAAGAGGTTACATTAAAGGATGATATACAAATATCTTGCTTAATTAGTTAAATCGAGTACTTAAAAATTGGCTGTTCTTGAGGGACAATCACATGGGCATGTTGTATACATGTCACAAGTAATAGAGCTTTCCTTACTTTATGGAGACATATACTTGCTGTGACGACATAGAGAGCTAGGGTTAAAGCAAAACAACCATGCATGATGATGAAAAAAGCTGGTCGAGGATATATCAAAATATTCCCTAAAAGTAACTTGGAATTTCCAGGAAAAAAAAATGGTTTGAAGAAAAAGATGGGGATTTAGATTTGAGAGAATCATTGATATCTGAGGTGGAAAATTTCTTTGTACACGTCATGATCTTGATGCACTGAAAATTCGATTTGGTTGCCTTGCTTTTCTCTGAAAAAAACAGAAAAGGATGGTGAAGGTAACATTTTCTTGAAGTTTCTAGCAAAAGTCTTGATAAAACGCATGCATGTTGCCCGTTTGTGAAAATAAACTACATATCCTAGCAAAATGAACGTGATCAACGATTTAGAGATAACAATTTGACAACATAATAAATGCATATGGTAAGACAAACACTTCCATCAAATAAAAGTGATTGTTCTGGAATATTTCAAGAATGATCGAGTTGTATAGTTGTGGAAGGAATTAAAGAAAAAATACTTGAGAAAACCAGGGCCGGGGCGGTGGTCCAAACTTATGAGATTGTTGAGAGGAATTTCATGAGAGAGATGTGACAAAAGTGGAAACCCAATTGGCAAAGTTCATTGTCATGAGAAGAGAAATGCTGGGTTAGGTCGGGTTGGGAGGTCTGTTTCAGAGGGCCAAGTGGCTGGAGGAGGAAGAAGCAAAATCTAACAAGGGCATGATCATAGCACTGTGGGAAAAGAGAATGTGTGTCCTAAAGGCCAGCATGCTATATGCATATATCACACCATCTCCATTGGTTTGGTTGGGTGGGACTGGATTCTGCTGGAATCCATGGCTGCCGGTCTTTTTGGAAATTTCCAAGTTCGAAGTTGTTGGTTACTCCCCCTAAGAGTCTTAAGACAAAATAACCCTAGCTAGGTACGTACGTAGCTAGCCAAAATAGAAGATGCGAAAACTATAGGGAGTCTCATTGTACTTGTTCATATCTAGAATGCTAACTCTATAGCAATTTTTGAACATGAATTTTGTTTATTGTGTACAATGACAAAAAAGAGATGAAACTATCATGGGGAACATGTACAAATTTACCATATGACCTCTTATGTACTTTATTGAGTTTCTCCATAATACGAGTCTTATTTGATAAATATATAGTTTTCTACATACAGAAATACTATTGCTACAATAAAACTGAATTCCTACTAAAAGGGGCTCGTATAACACACAATGCTAACCTAGTAATAACTAATACATTTCACCTAAGTGTGCTGGCAATGCATAAGATCATAAATATAAGGACTTTAAGTAATGTTTTTCAATAAGAAATAATATAAAAATTGGAGGCAAATTGATGAGGCAAGTAGTCAACAGTTAGGCAGATAACACTACTGCAATCCGCATGCATTGGCTAGTGGGAGCTGGGGGGATTCACATTGGTCATCTTTCTACAGATAGTGAATTAGCATGGTACTCCCAAATATCCTGCTCTCCAAGACTCCAACAACTAGACTTTAGAATCCTTTTCATTTTGGTCCCATCATTCACAGCTCATATCTTTTGCCACAACCATTCACATTCTTTGAAAAAGACATTAAACATTTTATAATTGTACAAGGCCTTGAGCATCTCAAAATTTTCCTCTCAGAAATTTTATTCCACGGTCATCCAACTACAATATTGAAACCGAGCGACACTTCCCTCTATATTCTACTTGAGATGATATTTCAAAAACATATAAAATTATACCTTTCATGTATATGAATGTGACAATCAATTCAACTATGAATATTTATACTCTTGTCTCGTTGTATTATCTAACGACATTAATTAGTTGTTTATATTGTGTTGGACTATATAAATTGATCGATCAATATGCAATAATCCAAAATCACCAATCAGGTGGCTACACGGGGGTCTTGAGAGAGCATCAAATAAATTGTGTCACATTCAATGTCTTTAAAAATGGAGTATAAGTGTTACAATGAAAATTTCACCTAAAACTCAAAACATTCCACTTAAAGGTATATAAGGTAGCGTACATACCTAAGTGACTTTTAGTTAAAGCTAAAATATCATATTTTTAATGTAAAAATATGGTTTTTCGTTAAAGTAAACAGTACCGCGAGCTTTTCATTAATGTTCTCTATTTTTAGTTAGTTTAGGTACTAGTTGAAAAGTCAAATTAATTTGTTAGTGAAAATGACAATAACGTCCAACCCTACAATCATAATTCATAGTCATTAACCTTCCCAATGAATTGTGACAAACGTGCATATGTAA